CCCTCCTCCGTCTCTTCCCCCTTCTCCGTCCTCCTCCTCCTCCACCTGCACCTCCTCCGCCTCCTCTTCCTCCTCTTCCTCCTCCTCCTCTTCCCTCCTCCTCCCCTCCCCTCCTCCTCCTTCTCCTCCTCTTCCTCCTCCTTTCCTATTATTATTGACATTATTAGCACTCGTATTCTTAGTGTTCTCATTATTCTTATTAGTTTTCTGAGTCTCATTCTTCTTAGTATGCTTTCTACTCTTCTTAATAATAGTATTACCATTGTGCTTCTTATTATTAATAATAACGTTGATATTAGTCCTCCTCCTCCTCCTTTTCCGGTGTCTCAGAATGGTGCTGCCGCTGTAGCGTCGCCCTCATGTTAGGATCAGCGCGTTGCTCCCGTCGTTCATCATGGCATTCTCGCCCGAGGGCGGGCAACTTATCTCAACCCCTTCATCGTTGTCGCTTCCCATCCTCCTCCTCCTCTTCCTCCTCCTCCTCCTCCCCCTCCTCTTCCTCCTCCTTCTCCTTCACCTCCTCCTCTTCTTTCTCCTCAATCCCTCTTCCGTATAAGTAACTTCTCCCTGTCGCACCCCGAAGCCAGTCGAAAGAGCGGACCGGGCGTGCCGCCTGAGACTTCCGCATCACTTCGAATCCTGAAGCTTGAAGTTTGCAACAGTTTCACGAATGGAGCGCGGTCCGCTTTCAAAATATTGCTTTCGCCTTAGCGCCGCGCACACTCGTCTTAGAAATTTAAACAAGTGTCACGGATGGAAAGCGGCCCGTTTTCAAAATGTGGCTCTCGCCTTAGCGCCGTGATCATTCGTCTTGGAAAATTTCAAGTCTGACGGATGGAGGGCAGCCCACTTTCAAAATGTGACTCTCGCTTTAGCGCCGCGCACATTCGTTATAAAAAGTTGCAAGAGTTTCACTTATGGAGGGCGGCCCCTTTTCAAAATGTAGCTTTCGCAAATAGCGCTGCGCACATTCGTCTTACGAGCGTGCAGCGGTATTAAGGATTTTCATGGTCAACGTCCCAGAAGTTGCGTTTGGGCCTGATTCGCGGCGTGGAAGTCCTAGGAATGGCGTTCTGGCACGATTCGGGCTCGTCGAGACATAACAGTAATGGTGATTCGCGGCGTTGAAGTCCCAGGAATGGTGCTCTGCCACCGTTCCATATTTTCAAGCGGCTGTCTTCCGACGGGGCATTTCCCTCGGTGAAAATCAATCCTTGCTGGGGCCTATGAAGAGGGAAATTGGAGGGAGGGTGTATTGCAATATGGTTGGTGAGTCTTTACACTGGTCATCCCTCCTCCTTCCCGTCCTCCTCCTCCTCCTCCGCCTCCTTCTTCTCCTTATCCTCCTGATCCTCCTTCACACCCTCATCCCTCCACCTACCTCGTCCCCCCCATCTTCTGCCACCTTCTCCCCCTTCTTCTCCTCATATTCCCCCTCCGTCTCATCATCATCATCATCATCATCATCATCATCATCATCATCATCATCATCATCAGCAGCAGCAGCAGCATCATCATCATCATCATCATCATCAGCATCATCATCATCATCATCATCATCACCACCACCACCATCATCATCATCATCATCAGCAGTATTATCATCAGCAGCAGCATCAGCATTAGCATCAGCATCATCATCATCATCATCATCATCATCAGCAGCAGCAGTATTATCATCAGCAGCAGCAGCATCAGCATTAGCATCAGCATCATCATCATCATCATCATCATCATCATCATCAGCGTCACCACCAACACCACCACCACCATAGTCATCATCATCATCGTCGTCGTCGCCATCATGATCATCATAATCACAATAATCATCAGCAGCAGCAGCAACAGCATCATCATCATCATCATCAGCATCATCATCGTCAGCCCCATCATCAGCATCCACAGCAGCAGCATCAGCATCAGCATCAATATACTCAGCATCACAACCAGCATCCATGTGTCCACGCCTCCCCTTGATGAGTGTGCATCACATGATGGAATAAATTGGGAAATCCAGGTCAGCTAGTATATCCGTCGGCGGGTATAGAAAACATGTGGCGACGAGAGCACCCAAAAGCATCCAATGATATCCGAAACATCGACGTCGTCTTGGTGGAAATCCCAAAACCTTAACGTCGTTGTTTCCCCAACCCTCCAGCGTATCGGGTGCTAGTTTGGAATCCGCAGCGCCGCGCGTCTCCTCCTCCTCGCATCTCCTCCTCCTCCTCCTCGTCCTCTTCCTCCTCCTCCTCCTCCTCCTAATCCTGCTCCTTCATCTCCTCTTCCTGCTCATCCTTGTCATCATCACCATCCTCGTCTTGGTCATAATCGTCATCAGCATCATCGCCTTCATACTCGTTACCACCATCATCACTCATTATCACGCATAGTCATGTCGGCGCACCCCTCACACATTTCGTGGCCCCACGGGTAGCTCCACCGAATGCACCAGTGGCTGCGTCCGCATGGTGCCCCGCCCCATTTCGGCGAACCCCTCACACGTTTCGTGACCCCACAGGGAGCTCCTCCGAAGGCCGAAGTGGCTGCATTCGCATGGTGCCCGCCCCCACTTCGGCGCACCACTCACCCGTTTGATGGCCCTACAGGGAGCTGCACTGAAGGCCCCAGTGGCTGCGTTCGCATGGTGCCCCGCCCCAATTTCGGCACACCCCTCACGTCGTGGCCCCACAGGGAGCTCCTACAAAGGCCCCAGTGGCTGCGTTCGCATGGTGCCCCGCCCCATTTTGGCGCACCCCAGACACCTATCGTGACGCCAGAGGGAGCTTCACGGAAGGCCCCAGTGGCTGCGTTCGCATGGTGCACCGCCCCATTTCGGTGCACCCATCGTACGTTTTGTGGCCCAGTAGGGCGCTCCACCAAAGGCCGCAATGGCTGCGTTCGCATGATGTATCGGATCCCTCTCGTCGCACCTTCTACACATTTCGTGGCTCCATCGGTGATCGTGGGCCGTTGAATGTGGCGTTGCAATTTTTGGCGAAGCGTTCAGGGGTACTGCAGATCCCTCAGTATGTTCATGTGCATTGAGCGTTCCTGCTGATAGTCGCTACGCGTTTGCAATGGGTTGGCTTCCTCGCCAGGCTAATTTCTGAACGTGGACCCCCAAAGGCCTCGACCCCCTCCCTGGGACTGGCTTCTCATCCCGACCAGTCTTGGACGGCCCCAGGCCCCGGCAATGGCCCCCAGAGGCCGAAAACTGCCAAAAAGCCTCCGCCGTGATGCTGTTCTTCACTAGAGGCCTCCCGGATGGGGTCAGAGTAGATGGAGTCGGAGGATCGTGACGGATCGTCGATGCATCACCGATGAATCGGCGACATCGGCGTGGGGAAAGTCAGGCTCCACATCGAGAAGCACCACCGAGACATCGGCGATGCGGCGTTATCCTCCGACCCTATCTACTCTGACTCCAACTGGGACGCCTGGATTTAGGACACCCGCAATGGGTACGAAAAACTACTTGTATAATGCCCGAAATCAAATATTGTCTAAAACCGACAGCGTTCGCTGTTGTGCAAGCGGCCTTCTGTCTCCATAGTCAATAGACAACTTTCTCGGCGACGCCGACAGTGAATTCTGTGCAGATTGGACAGGGACTGCAGTTTGGACTGGGACTGCTGCTGGTCTTCGTCAGAGTGAGGGGGGCGAACGGTCATTCACTGTCCCTGGGTGCGTGGCTGAAGCGTGATTCCGAGGCGCGAATTCTGCTTGTTGCGCTGCGCTGCGTGGTTGTCGTCGTCCTCTCCCGCGACGCGCCCGCGACCCACCCGCGCCCCCTCACTCTGACCCGCAACTGCGGCGGAACAGTACCCAGTCTTTCCGTACCCCCCCCCCCCACAGGGCCACGGAGTCCATACGTGTCCCATGCTCCCTGGCCAGGCCCCTCCTGAACCCAGCAGCGGTGTATACGCCACGCCCTCCTGGCTTGGCCAGGCTCGTCGCCCGAATGCAGATCGCACCGACAGCCTCACGGCGCCCCGGGGGGGGGGGGGCCGGGGCCCACGCCGACGCCGCCGACGCCGCGGCCCCGCGGGGCGGAGGCTGCAGTCCGGGGCTGCTGCGGCCGCCCAACCCCTGCGCCGAGAGCGCGGAGACGATCTCCGCGTGCCTGGCGCGGCGGCGGCGGGCGGGCGGCGGGGCAGCGAGGGGTGCGCGGCAGGGTGCCCGCGGGGGTTTGCCCAGACAACGGGCGTCTCGGAGAAGTCGAAGCAAAAGGTTTCCCTCGTCGTCCGTCGGCCGCTCGGGGCCCTCACTGGGCCTCGGGGCCGTCAAGGAGTGCCTGGGGCGAGAAGTCGATCCGGGGAGGCGGTCGAAAGGTCGGGGGCCCGTGTCCAAAAAAACGTAGCGTTGGATGTTTGAGCGGGGCAGAGGCAAACATATGTGAGCGACAGAACTGCTTGTCTTACGCGAGGTGGCATAGCGATCTTCCGCGGTGGCTTACGCGGGCCGCCAGCGCGGCATGCTACATTGGAAACGAAGGCGCGGGCGTGCGACCTTACGCGGGCAGCTTACGCGCCAGTGTTGGTGAAGACGAACCCGTTTACCTTCGTCGCTCATGTATTTGGACGCCCGAAATGGGCACGGAAAGACTGGGCACAATGCCCAACAACCGATATCGTCCCAAACCAACAGCGGCCGCTGTTGGGCAGGCGGCCTTCTGTCTCAAATGGACACAGGCCGTGGCGGCGCGGACAGCGAGTCCTGTTCAAAATGAACAAGAACTGCTGCTTGGCATTGTACCCATTTTTTCCGCACCCGCTTCGTTCGCGCAGAATGCAGACCCTGCTTTAATAAGCGTCGGGGGGGGCGCCATCCCCGCCAACAGCCCCACATCGACCCCCGTCGCGGGCAGCCACCGCGCGCCGAAGGCGCTCCGACCACCGTCGCCGCAAATGGTCGCAGAGGGAGAGCGCCTGGGGGCCTCCTCCCCCCCGCAAGACGATGGCAACATGAGGACGCTTTCGCACGGGGCTGCATCAGGAACCTCCGAGTCCGCTGGTCTCTTCCGTATCGTATAAACGATCCCCATCCCCACCAGCGTGGGCTGGGCCCCACTGGCCGATCTGCCCCCCTGATGGGGGTATAGGTTGCTCCCTTCGGGTTCCGAGGGTCATATGCTCAACTGAGGTAGTGAGGCGGTGGGGCTCGAGATGTGGACGGGGATGGGGATACGGATCGGTGAAACGAGACTGATCTCTGGAGCGATCGCCAGTGAGGAGGCCCAGGCGAGCGCGCGTCGAAAGGACCCCCCCCCAAGAGAAAAGCCGGGAGTGGCACGGCGCTCGCACGGCCGCAGCCCCGCCGCGGGACAGCCCCCCCGAAGCGAAAGAGGACCCCGACAGCGATTCGCCAAATCGTTCCACATTGGACGGTCCTGGGCCAGCGGCGATGTTCCGCCCGGCACGCCCGCGCGGCGGGGCCGCTGCCGCCTCGGCGCGACACGAGCCTGCCGCATCTGGCCGGATCTCGCCCAGGCCGGAAGCCAGCCACGTGCATCGAGCTTCTGGGGCGGCGGCGGGCGTCGCGGCCGTCGAGGATCGAGGACCGAGGTCCGAGGATCGGGATTATGATGATAAGGATGATGATGATGATGATGATGATGATGATGATGATGATGATGATGATGATGATGATGATGATGATGATGATGACGATGATGATGATGATGATGGTGATGATGATGATGGTGACACTGATGACGATGATGATGATGATGCTGATGATGATGGTGGTGACGCTGATGATGATGATGATGATGATGATGATGATGATGACGATGATGATGATGATGGTGATGATGGTGATAATAATGATGATAATGATGGTGGTGATGATGATGATGGTGATGATGATGATGATGGTGATGATAATAATAATGATTATGATGGTGTTGATGATGATGATGATGGTGATGATGATGGTGGTGGTGATGATGATAATGATGACGATGGCATGATGATGATGATGATGATGATGATGATGATGATGATGATGATGATGATGATGATGATGATGATGATGATGATGATGGTGGTGGTGGTGGTGGTGGTGGTGGTTATGATGATGATGGTGATGATGATGATGGTGATGATGATGATGGTGATGATGATGATGATGATGATGATGATGATGATGGTGATGATGATGATGATGATGATGATGATGATGATGATGATGGAGGGATGGAGGGATCGAGGGATCGAGGATCGGGGATGGAGGGATGGCCGCGCGGCCTCGACGGCCGCCTCCCCTGCGTGCCACCGCGTCCGTCGGGCGCCCCGAGGCCGCATGCCCAGCGATCGCGGGCGAGATCCCTCGGTCGGGCAGCTCTCCGGGAGAGCGCGGGCGCCCCCGCTCGGATGGCCACGGGCTGCCCGCACCGACCGGCCCGGGAGCCCACACGGAGCGCTTGAGGGAGCCCTTGACCACCAGAGGGCACGCACCACCCAGCCACCCACCCACCCACCACCCATTGCCGCCCACCACCACCCTCCACCATCCACCACCAGGACCACCACCACCACCACCACCGCTGCCAACCATAACACCACCGTCGCCACCACCAAAGCCATCACCACCACCAGGTCCCAGGAGGTCTCAGGAGGAGTGCGAAGAAAAAGGGGAGGAGAGGGAGGGAGAGGCACGAGGAAGAGGAAGAGGAGGAGGAGGAGGAGGAGGAGGAGGAGGAGGAGGAGGAGGGGGAGGAGGAGGGGGAGGAGCAGGAGGAGGAGGAGGAGGAGGAGGAGGAGGAGGAGGAGGAGGAGGAGGAGGAGAGGGAGCGGGATGGAGAGAGCATGGAGGGAGCGGAGGGAGGGAGGGAGGGAGGAAGGGAGAGAGGGAGGGAGTGCGGGAGAAAGGGAGGGAGGGAGAGGAAATGAGGAAAGGGAGGGAGGCGAGGAAGGGAACTTGTGTAGCGACGATATTGAGAGATTCGGCCAGTCCAGTCGGGCTCTAAGCAGTGCGAAAGAAAGAAAGAACAAAAGAAAGAGGGAGGAGGAGGAGGAGGAGGAGAAGATGGAGGAGGAGGAGGAGGAGGAGAGGGAGGAGGAGGAACGAGGATCCTGGTTGTTTGAGGTTTCGAACTTTGTTTGATTTGTTTGGAGCACGAGCAACGCCAGCGGTCACCTCCTTGTCGCACACCTGCGTCCCAGCAGCGCTCGAGGATCAAGCTTCGAGAATCGAGGCTCTTAGACGTACTTCGCCTCATGTACGAGGCAGATATTCGCGTGTGCACATGTCTGCATGATAACTTATCCGCCACCGTGCTGCTGGGCAAGGGGTGGGCCTGCCCTCAAGTCCTTTGCCCGATCCCCTCAGCCTCAGCCCGCACCCCTCTTGAGCAGGGACCGACCGTCCCGACATTCCTAGTCCTACCACGAATGTTCTTAGAATCCCAAGATGATCTAAGAACAAAAACGATGTTCTTAGAACACTAACCCGATGTGTCAAACCAAGACAGTCGCAACCAGAAATGTTCTAAGAACATTTCGTGGAAACCACCAGAAGCTCGTAGAACATTGTTTGGTGGGGCTAAGGCGAGCCAGGACGCTTCGCCACTGCTTGATCCTCAGGAGCCCTCAGAACGGGCTCCTTGAGCCCACATCGCGAGACCTCCTGGGGCTTCTCGCGTCCGGTCGGGAGCGTGCAGCGTCTCCCCGCGCAACTTGCTCGGGCCCACGGGGGCCTCGGGGCGGGCCAAGCAGGCCCCACGAGGTCCCCCGGACCGGCCAAGAGGGCCCCGAGTCGCCAAAAGGTCGCTCCGAGACGCCCAAGATGGCCTCAAGATGGCCACAGAGGCCTCCAAGACGCCCCAGGAGAGGCCTCCAAGAGGCCTCCCAAAAGGGCCCCAAGAGGCAAAAATCATTCATATTCCTTTGGATTTTGACTGATTTGGGCGGCGTTCCGACGCTCCAAGGCGCCAAGAGGCCCCCAAGAACATCCCGAGACGGCCCAAGAGGCCTCCAAGAGGGCCCCAAGACGGCCTACGAGCGCCTCAAGACCCAGCACGGCCCAAGAGAGCCCAAGAGGGCCCCAAAAAGGGCCCAAGAAAGGAAGCACGAACCGAAAATCCAAGCATTCCGCCCCAAGAGGCCCACACGACCCAAGAAGCTCCCAAGAGGCCCCCAAGAGGCCCCAAAATACCCCGCATCCCCACCGACTCACCACAGGGTGTGGTCACCACCCCATTTGGGGGCCCCCGGCTCGTGGGGCAGCCTGGGGACGCCCCGGGGAGGATCGGGGAGGGGGAGGGGGCCCCTGGCGTGCTGCGGCCCCGGCGGCCCCTGCTGTGCTGCGGCCCCGGGGACCCCCCCCAGGCCGCTCTTCCGGCGTGAGAGATAGCCATCGCCTGGGGAAACGAGATCCTAGATTTGGGTCGGGCGTGTCCCCCTACAGGCGGACTTTGGACGAAGAACAAGAAATAACGAGTCAAAGAGATTCAGGACATGCTGAAAAATATTCAGAAAATCGTCCCCATACGTCTTTTTGATTATTTCTGCATATTCCTCCTGTAGAGGGACAGGCCCGATTTAATCCTAGGAGCCCAGGAGGCGCTCGATGCGGACACTGCCCCACGGGGGCCCAGATGTCCATACCCACCGCCCCCTGGGGTCCTGGGAGGTCGGTGCTCCGGGCGGTGGGTGCATGTACGAATTCCAGCCTGAGATGCGTCAGGCTTCTGGGAGGCTTCCCGTTGAATTTCTGGTCTGAGAGCACCTTGGAGGTCTTGGTGTCGACTTCGGACCCCCAGGCAAAGAGATCCAACGTCTTGAGAAATCCGGACGGGCATGTTTCGCTCTTTCGGCGCCTGGAGGCCTTTCTTGGGGCGAAGGGGGGCGTCAAAAAATATTCCAGGACAAATCGCCCGTCCCCGGGGTCGGGACTTCCAGGGCAGGACCCCTGTATTGAGAAAAACACGACGTCGGAGGAAGAGGAGGAGGAGAAGGACGACGACGACGAGGAGGAGGAGAAGGATCGAGGACAAGAGATTCTATTTTGACCGTTCGGGGTCCTTTCTCTGTCTCTGACTGCCTCTGGAGGCACAAACGAAAGACGTCACACATATATACACACACATTCGAGAAAAAAGCCTCGAACTCTCCGTCTGAGGTCTCTGAAAATCTCGAATGGTGGTTCCCTAAACAGCGAAGGCTCGAGGGATCCCACATGCACTGTAAAAACCGATTCTCTGAAATTTGAGAATGCATCTGATGTGCCGTGCATCGCGCGCCAGGCCGTGTGCATGCCGTCACGCGCCCGCGTGCTGTGCCGTGCGCATGCCGTGCGGTGCCTGACTTCTCAAATGCAAAAAAATGTACGGCGCCGTGGCGCCGTGCCGCGCGCCGTGCCGCGCGCGTGCCGTGCCCTGCCTGGTGTCCAGGAATCGGGCATGCGCCGCGACGTGTGCGTGCTGGCGTGCCGTGCCGTGCGCGTGTCGCGCCGTGCCCATGCGCCGTGCTGTGCGCGCGCGCCGTGCGTGTAAGCCGCGCGCTGCTGCTCAGGGTCTCTGCGCGGGTGTCACTTTTGGCGGGGGTGGCTGCAACGGTGGTGGGCGGGGGGTGATCATGGTGGTGGTCGCCGTCGAGGTGGTCATCGTCATCGTCGCCGTCGCTGTCGTCGTCGCCACCGCTACGGTCGTCGCCCTCGTCGCCGCCGCCGCCTCCGCCGTGCTCGTCGTCGTCCGCGCCAGGCGGACCTGCGGCGTGGCATGAGCACACCCGCGCATCCTGATGGGCAAATTTTCCATCACCACAACATTCGGTTGGACGGGGGAGATAGAAGGATTGGGAGGTCATCCTCCTCCTCCGCTTTCCCCTCCTCTTTCTCCTCCTCTTTCTCCTCCTCCTCCTCCTCCTCTTCCTCCTCCTCCTCCTCCTCCTCCTCCTCCTCCTCCTCCTCCTCCTCCTCCTCCTCCTCACCCCCTGGCCCGCCTTCGCTCCAGCGCGGTCAGCTGGAGCTGATGCGCCTGGATCTGCCGCCGGTGCAC